TCTCACATCAATGTTTCTCTCTCTCTCTCTCTGTCTTTCTCTCTCTCTCCCTCCCACTCTCTCTGAAAAAGCAGTGGAAAAAAATATCCTAGGGTGAGAATTTAAAAAAAAAAAATGTTGGTTTAGGCCCTGGCTGGTGTGGTTCAGTTGGTTGGAGGGTCTTCCCGTGCACCAGAAGGTCGTGAGTTTGATTCCTGGTGAGGACACACGCCCAGGTTACGGTTCGATCCTCAGTTGGGGCGTGTATATGGGAGGCAACCGATCAATGTATGGCTCTCACATCTATGTTTCTCTCTCTCTGTCTCCTTTCCTCCCTCCCTAAAATCAATAATTTAAAAAAAAATGTTGATTTGGAAGTCATTTGACATTTGACACCACGGAAGTGGAGACGCTCTCAGATAAAGTGCTGATGGAAGAGAGATGAGGCAAATCTGGGTGACATTCACATCTAAGTATGCCTTGTGGGAAATTAGCCAGTGAAGGATATAGCAAAGAAAACAGTCATTGTGGTAAGAGGACAAGGACAGGTCACCATCGCAGAGGTCAAGGGAGAAGGAGTTCTGAGAAAAGGGGACAAAGTATCAAGCTCCTCAGGGCTGGAGGAGGCCAAGGATCGAGCAGACGTCACAGCACAAAGGTCTCAGAAAGGTCAGTCCCAACCGCAGGTCGGCCCGACCAGTGACAGGAAGGAAGGAGGCAGCTTCTTCGGAGAAGGGAGGGTAGAAGCCTGACTACAGGGCGTGATAAGCAAGCGTGGAAAGAACTGAAAATAAAATGTTCAAAACATCTGATGGCAAAACGAAGGAAAGAGACTGGAGAGCAGAGCAGAGAGAACAGAAAGGAACTTAAATATGTTCCTGTTTTCAGTTTTTTCTGTGGTTTTTTTTTTAAAGCATATTTCATTGCATTTAAATTTCACAAAAACCTGCAACGAAAATATTAATATCCCTGATTTTACAGATGAAAGAATTGAAGTAACTGAGTAACATGCTCACTTGCCATATCTATCAAGTGATAAACAAAGTAGCAGAGGTAAAATTATTGGATACAATGCATGACTAAGTAATGGTTTTTGATTCAAACTGTTAAATTGTGCTCTAGAGAGAAAGTTTTGAGAGATATAGAGACAGTGTCTAGGCCAACATAAATGAGACAATGAAGAAAGCAATGAAAAGTACGTGTGTGCATATGTTTGTACATATACATGGGTGGGGGGTGGGGAGATGAGTGTAGAAAATAGAATTTCCAAAGATACTTCTTAACCTTAGAGGTTAACCTCAGAATTTAGAAAAAACATTTTATCATTTGACCGGTAAGAAAAGAAAATGAGTGGAGATCTAGAGAAATTTTGAAGCGGGAGTGAGGAAACTTGCTGAAACACAAGCCGGCTATCTAAACTCTTCAAAGTAAACTGGCAGACAGGTTTCCTTCTAAGAGAGACTGAGGGCACAGGCGTGAGCTAGTTTAAGGAGACAGGAAAGGCTGAGACTGTGGCAACAGAGATAAGGCAGAGCTCTACCACCGCTAATTTTCAAGCTCTGAACTGCCTGTAGTCTCTTGGTCTCTGCTGGTCATGACAGCCTTGAGAGATGAAAGGACAAAGGGGAAAGTGCCCAGACAGTTCCCACTTCAGAGATTCCAAATCTGCAAGATGCTTTCTGAGGTCTACAGCACATTCTCATCTTTGGCTGTGTTGTGGGCTGGTGAGATCACTATGAAATTTTTACTCACTGTCTTCAGTGACTCTCCTCTCATTTTCTCTGGAAAATAGCTTTTGCTCCCATCTCTCCACCAAAATTGCTCCTATGAAGTGTTCTTCAGTGTGCTAATTCAAATTCAGTCTTTTACTTTTCAATCATCTGACCTTTTCTCCAACTTGAGATACTTGGTTCGCTTAGTTTCCAAGAAGACAAACTCACCTCGTTTTTCTTCCACTTTGCTGGCTGCTCCTCCTTAAGTCTTTTCCACCGGTATCTTTTCATCTCCCCATCCTCTAAATGGTGGTATGCCTCAGGCTCACAGTCCCCAGGCCACTTCTCTTTTCTGTCCACCCTGCTCCCTTGGTTGCTCATCCAGTATACTGGTTTTAAATAGCCTCTATCTGCTGATGACTCCCACACTGTATCTCCAGCCAGGATAGCCTCCCTAAACTGTAGGCCCAGAAATCCAGTTGCCTCCCTTTTCTTAGATATCTGATGGGCAGTTCAATCTTAACATGTTCAAACCTGAACCTATGATATTATCCCCAAAACTCCTGTCTTCTCCATTTCAGTAAACTGGTAACACAAATCTAGTTGTTCAGACCAAAAGCACTGGAGTCTCTCTGACTCCTCTATTCCTTTCATACCCCACAGGTAATGTCAGGAAATCCTGTCAATTCTACCTTCAAAATGCACCCAGAACCCATCTACTACTTCATGACTCCTGCAATATACCACTCCAGGAGGAACCATTCATGTTTCAGTTGATGTGAACAGTGCCCCCTGGAGTAGTGCAGTGTACAGCCTGCAAGGCAATATGTGCCGGCTCTGGTATCACCTGAGTTCAAACCACCATCATCTCAAACCTAGATGATAGCGATGGTTTCCTACTGCGGTTTCCCTGCTTCTGCCCACTTGTCTATTAAGGTAGCAGTCAAACCAAAGTTCAGTGAGTCAGATCACCGTTCTACTGGGCCCTCCAGTGGATTCTCATCTCACCCAGAGTAAAAGGTACATCCTTACAGTGATCTCTGAGGCCGACTTAATCTTCCCTCTCTCCTGTTACCTCCCTCACGTTGCTGGCTCTCTTTCAGCCACAAGGGTGTTTTTGTGGTTTCTTGAACAATCCGGGTACATTACTGCCTCAGGGCCTTTGCCGTCTGCCATTATAGTATGTACCCCGTTGGTTGGCTTCCTCACTTTCTCTTGGTCTTTCTACTCAAATGGTAAATTCTTGGCATGCCTTCTCTGACAATGCTATTTAAAATGGCATCCCTTGCCCCCTCCCAATTCCTGGCCCCATTTCCTGCTTTACTTTTCTTTCCAGTAGTCATCACGATCTAGGAGAGCCTACGTTCTTATTTTTCTTGGTTACTGTCTCTTTCCCCTATTAGAATGTAGGGCTCCATGAGAGCGGCAATTTTTGTCCGCTTTTCTCACTGTTGTATACCCAGGATACTTCCTGGCACATGGAAGGCACATAATTATGTACAGCACCTTTGCCCCTAGCTATAGAAACAAATGTTTAGTCGGGTGCAAAGCACTTGACAAGAAGGAGAGAGAGATTTTGAAAGAGGGTCAGTAAAGTAAAATTAGAAGATTAAAAATAGTGGGAAGTTCACAACTCAACTTTCAGGGTGCACTCTGAATACTAGTCATTGTTATGTTCTCCGGCACTTAGCTTTGTGGCTACCCGTGAAGACTAGATTTAAAAATTCATAAAATACGAGAGTTAGAGAAGATCTTAGAGAACACCCTCACCTTATAGCTGTGGAAAATTTCTCTACGTTGTGTTGATAGGATTTTAAATTATTCATTGCCACAAAGACATGCCCAGCATGCTCACTTACGTTAACGTGTGCCATGGCCGATGCGGGAATGCGGAAGCTGGCAGCTAGGGCGGGGCACGGCCTTTCGCACAAACAAGACCGATGTGCAATTAGGCTCTCCCACCCAAATAAGTTTTTAAACAAAGACTATGCCCATAGTTTTTCTCAATCAAACACGTATTTTAAGAAATAAATGTACTTTTCCACTTTTATTAGCTATTACAACCTAAATAATTTAGGAGACTGTTCCTGGTGGGCGAAAAATTATCAGTGGGTTCAGTTCAGTGAAAGGATTCAAACAGAGAAGTGCATTCTTTTCAAAGAAGCAAGAGTTACACTGTTAGTCACAGTAATTCTCATTGGCAGATAAACAAATCATGGGCCAAATAAAGAACTAGTGAAGTTAGTAGAATTTTTTAAAAAAATTTACTTTTCCTCCCAAATAAGAATCAAGTTAATATTAAATAACTTTTACTGTGTAGTGATTCCAGGGCTTAGATGCATTATTTGGAGAACTGTGTCAGACGCTGGTCTGAGGTAAATGATTGCTCTGTCCACCCCAGCTGATCAGTTTACTTCTAGAAACAGAGTATGAAGACATTGGGGAAAAAAACAAAAGAAGCATGCTTTTCCTAGATTTGCATTGAGGTATATTTTACTGAGGGCAAAATGGGGAATCTTCTGTGAGCACGTGCAGAAAAAAATAAAAAAATAGGTGGCCCAAAACTTTTGCTAAATGTATGGAGCTAAATATATGTACCCAGCATGGAGCTAACAACTGGTCAGAGTTCAAGTAGATCAGAGGAGGTACACACTGAACAGTGAGAATATATATTCCCTATTTTTATTAGGAACCCCTGTTTATGTGATGTTACAAAATCTACCTTCACTTTATTTTTGGTAAATTTTTTTTAAACTGAAGAGAATTAGCAGACAGACTTTGGTTCCGCTTTTCAGAGAAGCTGAAGCATACACAAAAAAGGGTGATGTATATTAATTGTTAAAACAAATAATCATTTAGTCATTGGCTGAAATCACTTGTAAAACTTATATAACAAATTAATGATCCAGGTTTCAGGTCTGAGGTAACCGTGTAGGAGATTAGTTGTTTTGTGTGTCTAATTAATTTGGAAGAAAATACCTGATAGAATATAGATTTGAAAACAAATTTCTGAACATGAAAACAGTTGGTCCTCACTTTAAGTTCATTCATTAAAAGTTGTTTTCTACATATTCATACAGACAAGAACATATAGAATGGGGAAAAATAAAGACAAAGGCAAATTACTGAATATAAATGAAATACAAGTGTGTATACTTAGTAGCTCTAAGGTCTCTTTTAGAACTTGTATTTTATAATTCTGTAAAACTCAAGATTGAAATTATTATTTATTTTTTACAAAGCAAGGAAAAGAGGTATCATATTTCCTAACTGGCCACAAGTAAAAATTTTATAAAATTATTCACTTACCACAAGATCATCTTGATTTTCACTGAGGTCAGAAAGTTTGGAACTGGATTTCTGACGTTTAGGTTTGCTCCTCTCTCCAATATAACCAGAAGTATTTTCATGTAAATTTTCCACTTCCTGAGCATTCAAAATACAATCATCAAGGTGGGTGAAGCCAGAAGGAATATTTTCTTTGTTGGTAAGTCCCCTAGAATTGAAAGAAAATTATCTTAATTGTATTTTAAACAGTAAAAGGGACATTTCAATGAGACTGCCACTGCCTCACACAGGAGTCAGAAGAGTGCCTAGAAATTTGTTTGCATCTTTGATCAAAATCTGCACAGACTGCCACTCCTGAGTCCTCTTGGTGCCAAATAAATCACACTAAAAGAGAAATTATTCCTAGAGGCAAATTGGCAAGGGCTGTGTTTCTAGCAATAAACAACTTTTGTATTTGTACCAAAAGTAATTTGTATTTAAACAGGAAACTAGTGCAAGCCAACAAAATAATTCTGCCCCCTCCCATATACATGTATACACACACACACACACACACACACGCACACACACAAATAAATCTTACACACTGATACAATGTATGGAGAAAATCTGAAAAGGAAATGTCTTTCTCTAGAATGGGACATTTTGATTCTTCCCAAATGATAAAGACATTTTGGCATACTAAAAATGCATTCATATCTAAATCTGACTGTGTTAGATAATCTTGGTAGAAACAGTTTAATAAAAACTATGGAATACAAAACATTTTTAACTGAAATATAGATTGTTACTTCCCAGTGCAAGGAGTTCCAGGATGTAAGCTTGTGACTGGAGGTCCTTCATGATTTAGTCTTAGAAGTAGATATGAATGCCATGATTATAGAATTTAATTCATTTACTGTTCTTGAATAGTTTTCTTTAAGAATTTTAAACATTCCCTTTTAAGAGGTTTTTACAAAATTAAATTCCTTAGCAAAATGTTTGCTTGTCTTTTGCTACATCACAGAACAAATTAAACCACCGGTGCAGCACCATGTCTTGGTAAGGTACAAAGGAATGAGAGTTTACTTTTCTTCATGGTCTGACCCTAAAGGGACCTCCCTAAACACCTAAGGCTATATCTTAAAATAAATGAACTTTAAAGAGTAAAAATAGATGAGCATATTTTACTATCGGTTCAACCATATCCAAAAATGAAAGATAGTATTACATATTTATTCTGCAATTTAAATTCATATCCTGCCTTAAGGGCTATAATGGAACAAATTTATGAATTGATAGTATCAAAATATTTTCAAAGTTATACTATCTTTGGCACGCACATAGAGGAAAGACTCCGTGAGGACACAGTGAGAAGGCACCGTCTACAAGTCAAGGAGACAGGTCTCATCAAAAACCAACCCTCTCAGCACCTTCATCTTGGACTTCCAGACTCTCAGAACTGGAGAATATATTTAATATATTCTTTATTTTATACTTTTAATGTAAAAATGTATAGATTTAATAAAATTATAACAAGATATGTGCAACATTTATAAAAAAAATCCTAATATAAAATAATTGAAGACATCAGGAAAAGCTGATAGGGATTAACATGCCAGCACACAGTCATGCAAACATTCTTAAATCTCTCCCCTCCATGCTCTGAGAGCAGTGCCTTCTGTGGATGGCTGGATGAGTTTGTTCTGAAATTCAAAAATGTTTGCTTTACTATTTAAATTGCCTTCCTGTCACTCTTCATATTTTCCCTCCAATTATAATTTTTCAATGAAGGGGTTTTTATGTTTTAAAGCTGTTATAGACTAAACTACGTTCCCCAAATTTATATGTTGAAGCTTTAATCCCTAATGGGACTGTATTTGGAGATAGGGTCTTTAAGGAGGTAATTAAAGTTACATCAGGTCACAAGGGTGCTGGCTTAATCCACCAGAACAGGTGTCCTTATAAGAAGGGAGGGAAACACCAGGAGAGCACGCACACAGAGGAAAGGCTCTGTGAGGACGCAGTGAGGAGGCGCCGTCTACAAGTCAAGGAGACAGGTCTCATCAAAACCAACCCTGTCAGCACCTTGATCTTGGACTTCCAGACTCTCAGAACCTGAGAAAATAACTTTCTGTTGTTTAAACCCCCCAGTCTGAGGCACTCTGTTATGGTAGCCCTCGCAGACTAATACAAAAGCTGAAAACTATTTTTAGAAATTAAAAGACAAAGTTTATTTTATAAGCTTTCGAATAGTGAATGAATGGCTGGAATAAATCCTATCTGAATAAATGTATGAAAATCTGATTGTGCAGTTGTGCTCAGGTGGAAATCCTGTACTCCTCAAAGGGAAGTCTTCGGGGTTGTGTGAGTGCCTCTCACCATGGGATGCATGTGAGCGTGAGGAGCACTGGTGCCCGATTCCTCCGGCAACACTCTCACAGATTTCAATCACACTTGGCATCACTTACCTTTGACCTGAAGTAGGTGTCTGTGGCCTCTCACTTTCACTATCTAGACCTTATTTATTGTTTTTTCTTATTTTTTTTCTTTCCTTCTCACTCCTATGTACACATTTAATGTTCTAGCAAAACAGAAGCATTTATTATTCCAATATAGCATGCTTTTTACTTTGCAGTAGGAATTTAATATAATATTTATATAATAAAATTTTTTCCTGTCCATCATGTTTTATTATTTTTTTTAATCCTCACTTAAGGATATTTTTTCCATTGCTTTCAGAGAGAGTGGAAATGAGAGAGAGAGAGAGAAACGATGTGAGAGAGACACATTGATTGGGTGCCTCCTGATCTCGCTCCGACTGGGGTGGAGTTTGCAACTGAGGTACGTGTCCTCGGCTAGAATCAAACCCAGACCCTTCAGTCCTCAGGCCGATGCTCTAACTGCTGAGCTAATCCAGCTAGGGCCAGTCCATTGTGTGTTAGAAGATTAAAACCAGTTTCACTTAAATAATCCTCTGCTTTAAAAAAGATATTTATTATAAAGTTTCCAAACATACAGAAAAAAATCCTATCGCAATGAACTTCCATATACCGTCCATCACCAAGAATCAACGTTTCCACGCACCCAGCATATGGTAAATTTTGAAACTGTATCCTTTCACATAAATATATTAGTTGTTTTTACATTTTTATTGTAGCAAATAATAAAAGCCTGATGTTTCCTTATGAATTTAGACAATTAAGAAATCATGTGCACGAAAATGAACTATTTATCATCTTAGTTGAACTTCTGTATTGTTTATTTAAAAAAAATCTGCCAGGATGATCTTATTACAGACTTTATTGACTCTTTAATCTCATCTCAAAATATGGTCACATTGACTTCATGGATTTTTATTTTATTTTAATATGGCTGCAGCTCTAAGTTTGTTAGAGGCAAAATAATAGATAGTAATTTTTAAAATATTCCTATTTTTCAAAACATTTTAAACCATTCCATAGGGCTGTTTTGAACAGAATATATAGTAAAGTCCAGCTTAATTTTCCCTTATTTTTCAAGCAAAGTCTGATGAAAATCTTAGATAAATGAATCAATTACATATAAGCATCTATTGAGAAAAACATACTATAGGCTATAATAATGATTCTCAGCTTTCTCACCATTGATGCCATGTGAGTGTATCCCAGGGACATAGGAGAGGACCATCATGGGGGAAAAAGTAGTAGGTTTGGCCCTTCAAGGGCCTTGCTTTCCAAAGACCTGGAGAGCTCAGAGAAGCAGTTCAGTAGAGGCTGCGAGCTGAAGGGCTATCAAGACAGGACAGTGACCAGGGTCAGCTTAGCAGAGGGCTTCGTGAGTAGGACATGAAGAGGGCTTCTGAATGCCCAGGCCACATGCTAAAGAAAACGAGTAAGGTGAGACTGTTCCTAAGTTACTCGGCTACGTATACTTTACACCCCAGGATTCTCTCGCTAAATTCCCAGCTGTGGTTTGACCACGAGTGACTAGAATGAGTGGTGAAAGGAATACGAGAGGAAAAATTAAGGGAAGGGACGAACGTTTTATGAGTGTTTAGATGACTAGCCAGTCTCCACCATGCTCCATCTCCTTTAGTTCTCCTGATGTATAGTAAAATATAATCAAGATCACTCACGCTAGAAACAAGCCTGGTCTTGGGAAACTATAAGTAAAATCTGCAGGAGAGGTTACCGTATGTTTCCTATTTCTCTCCTTGTCTGGCTCCTGCTCATTTCTGACTTTGCCCCTCTGTCCCTCCCGCCCGCTGCCACCCCC